TTTTTTTTAAAGATTGTTTTTCAATACAAAATAATTTAAAATATTGAAGAATGTGATGCTAGGTGGGACCCAACAGAGTAAAGGTCTTTATAAAAACAAACAAACAACAACTTTAATTTATTCCTGTCAGTTCATGTTTCTTATTAAGGCAACTGTCTCTGATTGGCTGTCCTTCCCAAAAACAAAAGTGTATGGGAGGGACTTAAGATGACCATATTAGGAATATCTACTACTTGGTAACATCATTCCAACAGTAGAAAAAAAACAACTTTGTGAAGCCTGAGCTTTTGTCTCACAAGGTTTACTTCTACATGTGCTCACCTCATTATCTGAAACTTATCTGGTTGTGTTCAAAAACAACATATTACACACATGTCAAGAAAATGATGTAAGGCAGAGCAGCCCCACTTCAAAATCCTAAATACTAACTATTAGGTCTTCTTGGATCTGGCTATGTTATGCTCTATATACAAAATTCATATTTTTGAAAAGAACTAGAAAATTACAGTTAGTCACCTACAAAGAGGTCAAAAACACTCAGTGGTTCCACGTCCACTCTTCATCCTGCCCTGAAACGTCTTCATCAGTACAGTCAGAGTTCAGCTTATCTCCTTCTACAAACCCCGGGTAACCGTCATCGCTTCCTTTCTAAAACTCGTACGGAGACACGAACAGGGTGACCTTGGTGAGGTAGCGGCCCAGCAGGGTGTTGTGCTCCAGCTCGCTCATCTCCACCTCGGCTTCTAGCGTGGCCGGCCCCTTGATGGGCGTCACCAGGAGGAGGGTGCCCGTCTGTCTGCCCGAGCGCTGCACACTAAAGTGGCCCCGGCCGCGACCGCCGGCGAGGCCGAATCGCAGCGTGTCGCCCAGCACGCGAGCGGCAGACACCCGGAAGAGGATGCGCGGGGCGGACATGTTGGACACTACAGAGAGGAAGTGGAAGGAGATGGAGTTTGGTGCCTGAGTGCATGGCTTGTCTCCCAGCATGCACGGGTTCCTCTCACACCGCCTGAAAGAACACAAAGAGGGTAAACATTATTGGTTTTCAGTTATTCACAGGTTTTAGTCATTCTTATGGAACAACCGGCCTGCTCTCTGTCCTAATCTAAGATGAACAAGTACAAAAAACAGCAGACCGAGGCCTCAGGGCTTCAGCTGCCCTCAGCAGCACTGAATTGGATAAATGGAAGAACAAGATTTCAACATACTCAATTACAGAAGGACAACTAACATGTGATCAAAAAGATTTTCTAAAACTGGCTCACTTCTCCTTAAGACCATCTTTTTGGACATGTCCAGACAGCTTTCAGAATAGCGTCTACTTTTAGAGCACATGGACCCTGTGATGTCACCTCACACTTGAGGGTTATTGCAATCATAAAGAGTCCACCGTTCCCAAGCCTGAATGTGGCCTCATACATTCACATGCACTGCTTAAAAAAATCAAAGATCCAAATCAAATCAGTTTTATTTATATAGCACTTTGGTCCACAGTTGTTGTTTTTAAAAGTACTGTACAATAGAATAATCAGGTAACATTTAAAAGGAAAGGAAAATAATAAGAATAAAATGATGACAGACTCCTACAGAATTAAAAGCCAAGGGGTAAAAATGGGTCTTTAAAATGCACGAAAACCCAGGAATGTCCTGATGTGCCTTCCTGAAGGAGTCGGATTACCTGTGAAACCTCTGTGAGGTCCACGTATCGCCTCAAGCTAAACCATTCCTGTTTTCGAGTTTTCTCATGGTTGCCCCTCTACTGCACCTGTCGTTAAAGCAACTGACACAACCAGCGTTTCTTAACTGACTAGATCGAGCTCACAGAAGAACGTGATGCTAAACTCTAATAAAAAAGTGTCATGTGTTAGTGCTACTTATATGATATGATAAGTTAGCTGATACAAATTTCAAAACTCATCATTTAATTTGTTTTTGATTGAAATTGAATATTACTTAAACTCTCTTAAATTGACTTCCAATAAAAAAGGTTTATCATTGATTGAAATTCATTCAGAAATAATCCTTCTTACTTCATTGTACTGTATATTGTTACTGTTATTTGCCCTGTATGTCTACTGTACAAACTGAACTGGAATGACTGACTGTTCGCTTTATCATTTCAAATAAAGTTCGAAAAAAAAGTTAGCTGATACAGCAAACCAGACAAAACATGATGATTAGAACGAGAGAGCGAGAGAGAAGAAACCTGTTTGGATGCTTGACATGATCTGAAAAAGGTGAGAGAAGTGCAGATTATTAGTTAGAGAAAATTAATTAAACTTTTCAAGCTATCGTTCTGTCTTTGTGATGACTCTTTTGAGGGCACCCATTGGTTTTGAATAACTCTTTTCACTTCCTGTAAAATGCTTTTATATTCATCACTCTGTGACGTATATTTTTTTAATCCAGTTTAATCTGATTAGCTTCAGCATGCTAATGCCTCCTACCACGTAAAGCTACACTTCATGGTTAGCTTGTGAGTCATAGTTAGCAAAAAAACATCTGAGGTCAGTCTTGGGTCAAAAACTTCTTCTACATCTCCAACAAAGTGTGGTTGCGGGTTGGAACGCATTCTTGTATTCTTCATCTTCATCGACTTCCTGTCTCCTCTATAGTAGAATCCAGTCTGATTGTTTATGGTTCTCCAGAGACGCCATGATTGTTTAGTCATCCCCAGAGTAATCTGTTAAAATCCTGAAATGATCCTAGTCTCCTGAAATGATACCCTGCTCTTGTACTCATGGGTAAGGACCTGTTTTTCTCAGAAATTGACACAAACACTGAAAGTGAACACATGATTTTGTTTGTTATATGCTGGAGAGAGTGCAGGCGTACTCTGCACCCTCCCAGATTCAGAGTTAGGTTTGGGACGGTGTTTTTTAGACATACATGGCTGAAATGTTTGACAAAGTTAGTGTTTTCTGTCATATATCTTCTGTCCCAGTAGTGAACGTTCATATTAAACATAACAAAAGTTGAGTGATAATAACTCAGCATATGTACAAGTAACCTCTGTGAGCCAAAAGCTCAGATGGTCTGAAACATGGACTGCCACTAAACTCACAGTTTATATGTATATTTTTTCTCTAAGTGGTCAGAGAGAGTTATCCTTCATATGGTCATCTCAGTTATGGAACCCACATGCGGTTCAAAACCTTTACTAGGAGTTCAATTTTTCAATTATATTTTTATAGAGCGCCAAATCACAAAAACAATTGCCTTAATGCGCTTTATATTGTAAAGGTAAAGACCCTACAATAATACATACAGAGAAAACACCAACAATCATATGACCGTATGAGCAAGCGCTTTGGTGACAGTGGGAAGGAAAAACTCCCTTTTAACAGGAAGAAACCTCCGACAGGAATAGGCTCAGGAAGGGGCGGGGCCATCTTCTGCAGCTGGTTGGGGGTTGGGGTGAGTTAAACCAGCTCATTTCAGACAGAGCGTGAATGAATGAAAGGTTTATTTTGAACTGTGAATCATGCAAATCTTAAAAAAATATTTTAGACAAGATTCTACCTCGAGAGGCTTTTGTTAATGTTAATATTTGACGCATTTGTAAAATGGTATCAAGGGTTGATATTTGTTAAAGGTTTTGTATCAAAGTTAGAAATTCTTTTGTGATGGCACTAATGTGAGGAATTTCACTACATACAGTCTTTTATCCTTCCTCTGCTGCCTTTTGTTCTAGTCTTATGCAAAATGATTCTTAGTTTTTAATTGATGTGTTAAAATTTTATAGTTAAAATACTTCAGAGTAACGTTTCCACTGCAAATCTTCTCAGAAAATATTTTGCAGAACCCTTGAACTAAGCCAAACACCCTGGAGAGCCTGTGTGCCTGCAATCTTCATGTTTTTTGTGACCAAAATACAGGAAACAGATGATACAACAGCTGTTTTCTGCAAACGTTTGTCTTGAATTTGTGGCTTGTTAAATCATCTTTATCCAAGTCCCTCTTTAGCTAGTGAGTCCAACAAAAGGCTCGCTCAGATTACATGCCTTTGACATCCTCTTTCAAATCGAAGATGAATGATGGGCAACTTTTACAGTAAGTTCTCCCAATAGTTTATTTTTTCTTTTGGTGGTTTTCCCCACAAAGAAGTGATCAGGTCAATCCTCATATTTTTTGCTTTTCATGCAATTACTGTATTGACTGTATTTATCTTGCAGTTTCTTGGGTTTGACTGGGGGAATTTTTGCAATTTGGCATCTCCGTGATTCCAGGTGTGGAAAAAGTACTTGAACAATCTGCTGTGGTAAACACGTCCAGTGCTGTAAACACGTTTCAAGGTTCTTGACCGATCAGCTAACTGGAGCCTGAAAACTTAGCAGTTCATCTGAGGCCAAACCTCAGCCTGACTCTCAGCCCAGATTCTGCCAGAGCTAAGAGATGGGTGGAGGAGGGAAGTGGTTAACTGTGAGGTCGAGGTCATTGTTTGTCAAATATTTCTTTATCGCTGTCCCTGTCATTGACTTTATGTCTGATTCTTTTTCTTCTGAGGTGACAGGTTTATGGTTTTGATTGTGTCTTTGTGTTTCTGGGTGCTGTTTAATTGCACTCTCGATGTGTGATTTAAATTGAGTGTAGTTCAGGGCAGTCATTCTTTTGACTGCTTGTTCGCTAGTTTCAAATTCAGACTGTCAGTTTTGTTTTCATCCACAGTTGTTGGACAAATAGTCCATAGAACTTGGAGAGTTTCCAGATGTTTTGCAACTCTCTGGATTGCCTCAAACAGCATGTGGACTGATTTTTGACCAATGGGACAAATATCACACCACTGAGCTCATTTGAATCACAGACAGATTGCTTTGGTTTTGGGGATCAAATCACACTCTAACCTTTCTTTATTCGAGTTAATATTAGTGAGTCCCACTCACACAGACTTAGAGACTGGTTGGCAATCATTTGGCAACCATCGGTTGATAGGAAAAAGTGTCTAGCACTCGACCCACTGCTGAGTGGTTGCTTCTAGTGTGAAACTGGTTGCAAACAGGTATTTGGTGCTGTACCAAAAACCTTTTTATTATTGTTAAGGCGCCACAGGTTGCCATGGTCACCAGTACTTTGCATGGGAGATGCCAGTTTGTCTGTCCACCATCAAAAACTACTTGCCAAGTAGTGCTGAAACTGTGAAAAGTGAGCCGCAAACTGGAAACTCAGACTGTTTGCCTTTAAAGTAAATAGTGAGATTCGCAAACTTTCAGATTGTACAAACTAAAGGTTTATGTGGAGATATGGAGACACAAACAGGACACAGAAGGTAAGATAGAAGAGAACAGCTCAGAGGAAGGTTGAGGAGAAAAAGGTCGGTAAGTACTCTTACATGGACGATGTTTTGATGTACGTGGCGTTTTTCAAGCGAGGACACTCCACCGTCACACACTGGAAACCTCCGTAGGTGTTCACACACAGCTGGTCTGCTGTGCAGTTGTGCATCCGGTTTTCACACTCGTCAATGTCTGAATGCGAAAGGTCAAAGGTGAGAGGTACAACTACAAGGGCGCAGCCATCTTAAACATTCCCCAAATAGAACAGGATGACCTCTGAACTCTGACCTGTGCAGCCGCGGCCGTCTCTGGTCAGGTCGTACCCGGACGGACAGATGCAGTGGAAGCTGCCGGGTGTGTTCACGCACTGATGGACGCAGAGCAGGCCAGGCTGACCGAGGGGAAACAGATGGCACTCGTCGATATCTGAAACAGACACAAGCAAAATTCTAGTTGATTAATCGGTCGGTTGATTGAAAGAAAATTTACATCCAACAATTTTGGTTCTCAAGCGAAGATATTGAAAATCGATTTTTTTAACTGCTGAGAATGGGACGTTTTGTTAATGTGGTGGTTATTGGTATGGACTGATCACCTGTGCAGATGTTGTTGTCACGGCCTGATATGGTGAAGCCCACGTCACAGGTGCAGCGGGTGGAGCCCAGGAAGTGTGTGCAGTGAGAGGGTCGTACTGAAGAGGAGGGAGAGGATGACGTGGGTGACTGGTGAGAAAGTGAAGTTGCTGAAGAGGATGCTGACAGAGCAGCAGAAGCAGGAAATGATGACGAAGAGGAGGCGGAGGAGGAGGGAGAAGCGGGAGAGAAGGAGGGGAGGGAGTTGGCGGTGCTGTTGAGGTCTGAAAAGAAAAACCAGGTTTAAAAAAACAGACGCACAAAACTTTGAAGCAGAACTGTGATTGACCTCCGGAGACTCACGTCTGCACATGGGCTGCTGACCGCTCCACTTCAGAGACTCCAGACACACTCGGGTCCGAGGACCAATCAGCTCATAGCCGGACTTGCACAGGAAGTGGACCTCGTGTCCGATGCCAAACACCCTGCCCAGTCTGCGGCCGTGAGCGGGGGGATCCGGTTTGGGGCAGGATGCTGCAAGGCAAAACATTTCTGTCTGAGATAATCTTAATCCACCTGCTGGACCTCAGAAAAGTTATACACCAGCTCAAACCCTGTGGTCATCTGGAACAGACACCAGGAACTGACGGTGCTCCAGTGTGTCAGCCTCCCCTGCAGCTGCGCCACAAACCATGCCCCGCCACAGGGTCACTACACCAAAAACTCCTCCCACTTTTACCATTTATTTTTTTACCTATTTTAAAGACGGCCATGGTGCTGTTGTGCAGGGTGCTAATCTTCTTCTTTAGGGAGCGCAGGCTCTGCTGGTAGGACGTCTCATGGACCGCCAGCATCTTCTCCACCTGCCGCAGCGAGTTCAGCAGATCGTGAGTGGATGGACACTCCTGTGGGGGCGGGACGAGGAGGGGTTAGAGAAGGCCTTCCTCCATCTAATCTTTGTCTTTTTTGGCACTTTTATAATAAGCTGAGTAAATTCTGGGGCCAGAACACCAAAACCATGAGCTGACTCAAGCTCAAATGTGCACGGTGGATGTGGGTGTATACTTCTAAATGCCTCCTATCACAATAAATATTCATTAATTACTATTAATTCTATCTTTAGGCCCAAATATGAAAACACAAAGTTTTTCCAAGGTTGTAATAATTTGTTTGGCTAGAGGCAGAAGATGACCATCACATTCTGTTTGCAGGTGTGAGGTCTGCACACAGAGGTGAGGTTTTTCAGAGCTGCATTTAAGCCTGGGTGAAAACTGAACCAGAAGCGGCCGCTCGCCTCACAATCACTGTTGAAACACAGCTTAACTCGGCGCTGCTGCCACACAGCGAACCTGTGGTTTGTGTTTTCGGTGTTTGGAGGCGTTCCTTTGGTTTTTTACAGGCAGTGAAGACTAAGGAGGGTGAACCTGAGCTCTGCGTGCTGAGCTGCAGCTACTATGTATTTAAACAGACTTTGGTGTTGGTGTGAGTAATCAAACTCTAATGACAATAAAAACAAGAATTTGTTCGTGCACTTTGATTGATTTGACCAGGGCTAAGGGTGTGTCATAGTCGTTGAATTTCTTTTTTTTAATTTTAGTTTTTTGGACATTATTTAAAAGTACACAAGATTAAAAAGTTCAAAGAGCTCCACTTGATTTAAATTTACCTGAATCAAATTCAAGGTCATGCTCCTGTGCACCTTTGCTCTGAGCAGAACTCCTAATGTGTCGTCTTATACTTTCTGCTTCTAGCTGGACCTTCTCCAACATGTCAGAAAGATGAATCTTCAATTTGATCTTAATTTTTTAAAGCACACAAAGCTACAGTTTGAAGATACGTGTGTGTGATGCGATGATTGTCTGCATAAATGTTTAATTCAGTTTGAAAAACGAGTTGATGTTTGTGTTTAGCATAGAAGAATCTAAAAATATCAGCCATGCTTGAAGCTCTCAGGACTTGCAAGAGAAGATGATTATGAACATCATATGGCCAAATGTACAGAGCTAAATGGATTTTTCTTTGTTATATCTATAATCATAGTGTGTGGTACTGCACTATGCTTCAATAAATAATCTCAAATATATTTTTAATCTAAAAAAGATCACGAGCTTTCTCTTGATCAGATCATGTTCCAACTTTTTTGACTCTCTAAGAAATAAAACTTGGATATAAAATCATTTTGATGTCAACTTTTACTCAAAAAACATTTAGACCCAAAATGCTGACTTAAGTAATTAGATTACATGTAAATCTACCATGAAATTTTGTTACATGAGTACAATGTAAAAAAAAAAAAAATTAAACTTACTTCATTTTGCTTGATTTTTTTATTTGAACTTTATATGAACTTTTGATTTCATATATTTCATTTTCATTTTACTCAAAATTGTTCCCTCAGTGTCCTACTAATTAGAGAGGGGTCAGCTGACATTTTAAACATGCATTATTTTAGCTTTGGGGGATGACTTTTTTTTTCAGGAATATCATCTCCAAGACTGGGAACATTAAAGTGTTATAGCCTAAAAGCTATAAAAGTAAAATGCAAACATGATAAGAACTATTCTTATGTATTTTATTTAAGAAAAACAGTCGTAATTTTTTTAAATTACATTAAATTCGATTGAATACATACATTATATTGAATTGGTCTTATGAGACCTTCGGTCCAAATATAGATGATTTCATGTTTTTCTTATTTTTTTAAAAAGCATGACCAGGTCAGACACCGGTACCAACCTGAGCAGAAGAAGAATAAATCTGATGAAGGCTGATCATCATCGTCATCAGCGTAATGACCCCAGCAGCCTTCATCCTGGAAAAAAACTCCATCCTCATGATGATCCGTCTTCAGCTCCTCTGCTGCGTCCTCAGAACTGAACCATCTCTTCTCCTGCTCTTTCTTTTCGAGGGCACTTGCCAAATTTCTCCTGCGCTCCCTCACAACCCTCCCTCCACCTCCACCTTCACCTCCACCCACCTCCCCGTCAGGCATGTTGGAGGTGGAAGCTGAAGCCAGAGGAGGAGGAGGAGGAGAAGAAGGAGGGCCCACATCTGGAACATGCTGTCCCTTCTTTCTTTTTTTTATAAACCATCAGCAAATCCAGAAATAGACTTAAATTATAAGGAGAAGTCAGCTGGCAGTGGTGTCTTTTAATCATCCCCCGTTGTTGGGGAGTATTTCAGATTCGCTCTCCAGCTCAGGAATGTGGCTCTTGCTCCAATTACAGTCACTATAAAGCCCCACTTTTTTTGAAACCCCAAACTCGCATCGTTGCAGCATAATGTCATGTTGCTCCTAAATGACAAGGCAGCGATATCTGAGGCAGAAGCCCCCGCCTCGGTTATCCCCCACTCAGAAAGAGAAAAAAAAGAGGTGTAGAGATCCTGGAAGAGATGTTAGAAAAGACCCTGCAGCTGCTACAAGTCCAAACTTCAACTTAAACTCAGAGTCATATATAAGGTATGATAATGGCAGAGTATGCATGCACACTATAATCTCCTATACAGCACCCTAAACACATGAAAATCCCCAAAAGGAAAAACACATCTGCTGAATTTGGAATTATAACGTTTAATTGGAAGTAAATAAAAAAGATGATTGAACCAGACTCCATCAAACAAGGCCTTGAATTTCCTTGAAGAGCCTGGAATTTCATGTGCAGTGAGCGCAGAGGGACACACACTCTTTCACGCATTTGTTAAAAACACAAAAGAACCATTTGCACAGCTAAAAACTGTCTTTATGGAAGATTATTGGAAAAACAAAAAGAAGCACATTTTGATTTTTAACATGCCTAAACTTAGAACACTGAGTCCACACAAGATATGTGCTTAAATAACAGATATGTCATCATAAGTAAACTAACAGAATACAAACCCCAAAAAGGGGGTTGGGTATTCATACCAGATGCCAGCTGGTATGAAATAGAGATGCTTTAGTTTTTTTCTCTTATTAGAGTTATTCTTGAATTATCATAATTAATGTTGGTCCAAGTTCAGCATTGCAAGTGAGCATATTGTTATGATGTCATAGTTTTGTGACATGTAAAAAAACAAAAACGGCCAATGAGCACTCAGGAAAACATTGTAAATAAAAGGCTGTTAGGATTGGGGCTGGGGGTTGGGATGTGATCGTGCTTAGGGTTGTAGCGCTATAGTTAGGGTTAAGCTCTTCTGGTTAGGGTTTAGTGTGTGGTGTAACGGTGTGTCCACATCACAAAAGTATGACATCACAGAAATGTGAGTGGTCACTTGCAATGTGGAATGTGGACCAAGATTAAGTCTGATTATGCGGGAACAACACCCACATGGAGCTATCAGATTGTGCTTTGCTCATCAGCCAGTATCACCAAAGACAGACCTCCTGGAAAACAGGTGGAGCTGTGAAGCACTCACCGGAATGAAGTGAAAGGCTCATATTGTCATCTTTTTTTCAGGTTTTAAAACTTTTAACAGATTTTTTTTTATTACAGCAAGAAATTTGTTAAAATATTAATTTCATTGGCTTTCTGTGTTGCTCTCACAAAACGGAGCATCTGAGTGGAGAGGTGTTGTTTTGTAATTTTGTCTGTCTTTTAGGTGTTTTGTGGTGATCCTGATGTAGCTATAGCTGACTTCAGTTCTTAAGCGTTATAATCGTAAACTTTTAAAAACTAAACATATGTTGGCATTTTCGACTGGAAGAAATGATGATGATCATCATGCAACAACATCAAAGTGTTATATTTCTGACACCACAGGAAATACATGCTTTTATTCTGGGACTTTTCTAGAACAGCTTGATTCTTATGATTATGAAAATAATCCTTCATCTTTTTTTGGGCTTTAAAGCAGTCCCTCAGGTTTTTCAGCTGAAAAAACATTTGTTTTAGCACCTTTCTCTGTTAATAAGATATCATTCCTCTAATTGTTTAATATCAGGATTCGCCTTGGTTACACTTTATGACAGAAAGTAAAGAGAAGAAAAGTGACACAAAGTTAAATGTGATGAAAAAAAAAGTAAGTTATCCTGAATGTCGTGCTTGTGCCAATGAAAACTTTTACTACTGTTGGCAAACGACAAAGGAAGAGGAGAGGGGGAAGGCATGTTAGAAAGCAGTGAGAGAGCAGGAAAGTGTAGTGAGAGTAGGGACTGGATGTATCGTCTATGAGCAGTAAAGGGAGAGAGCTGGCTGGTATTATATTGGAGCATACTTCATTGGACATGGAGCTGAAGGGAACAGGTGATAAGGAGATGTTGTGTAGTAGCTGATACAGGCTCTGGGTGGTGGGGAGAATTGCTAGATGGCGGGATAAGAATGGCTGTAGTGATGACGGAAACTGCAAAGAAGGTGTTTGATGTGACCTTTGGACGGAGGAAAGGGGACAAGGAGACTTGGTTTTGGATTGAGGACATACAGGATCACTTAGGAAGAAGTTAGCAGAGAAAGAGCAGGATAGTCAGGGATTCAAAGAAAGTAGACAGGAGTACTGGGAGGTGATGTGTACAGTGAGGAAAGATTGAAGAAAGCATGGGCAGCAGGTTAGGGTGGTTAATGATAGAGACAGAAATGTGCTACCGAGAGAAGAGAAGAAAGTTAGAGAGAAGTAGATGGGTGGAAGACAGTTAGAGAATCAGGAACTGCAGAGGGTTGGTAACAAGGAAATGAGGGCGGCTATGGAAAGGATAAAGAGTGGAAAATGATCCATATGACATACCTGTGGAGTGGTGGAGAAATCTAGGAGAGAGGGGAATCATCTTTTTGACCTGATTGTTTAAAACAACCTTGGAGTACGAGAGGATGTCTGAGGAATGTAGAAGTGTACTCGTACTGATTTTCAGAGACAAGCGTGATGTGCAGAGCTGTAGTAACTACAGAGGGATAAAGCTGATGAGCCATGGCATGTGGAAGGAAAAGAGTTGTTGAGGTTAGGTTAAGAAGAGATGTGATCCATTTTAAAATTCTTTTATTTGTTTTTAAGTCTCTTAATGGTCTTGCCCTTTCTTATTTGTTTGATCTGCTTCAGACAAATAAGAAAGGGCAGCACTGCGGTCAGCTGTTATGTTGTTTTTAAAGTGCTTTAGAAATAAAGTGAAAGTGAAAGTAAAGTGAAAGTGATGATCAGTGAGCAGTAGTATGGCTTCATGCTGAGAAGAGCGCTACAGATGGCATGTTTGCATACATATTATTGGGTGCTAAGAAAGATGTGGTGCTGCATCAGGAAGTCAGGAGTGGCAGAGAAGTCTAAGGCTGGTGGAGGACAATCTGCCGTGCAGAAGGAAGAGAAGAAGACCACAGAGAAGATTGATGCATGTTTTGATGGAGGATATACAGAGGGTTGGTGTGACAGAGGATGATGCTACAGATGGAGTGAGATGGAGGCAGATGATCCAATGTGGTAATCCTTAACTGGAACAGCTAAAACAAGAGGAAGAAACAGTCTGGCTTGACAAATTATGGATGTTGGTTGGTGTCCACCAGGTGGAGCTTGAGTCTTTTCAGAAAACCAAAGAATTCAGGTCTCCTCACAAACATGTGGCACCACCGCACTTTGGAAAATGATAATTTACTTTGGCAAAGTTGCTGATTATAGTTTGATGCTTTGATCCAAACCACATGAGAACTGAGAGTTCTGAAAACAAAGATGATTTACTCACGTTTGTCTTTTCAGGCAGAAGCAAACTGACGGATGGTTTTCTGTGTTTCTGATGTTTGTTTGAGGTTTTTGCTGTTGTTTCCTTATTGGTTCTGGATACATTTTGCAATCAGTCAGTTTCTGGCCTGTAATTTTTTAATACAGCTTGCAGGGACTCAGTGGAAATAAATTGTGTTTAACCAGGATTATATGAGTTATGACATCTGCTTTCCAAGTGTGTCCTGCCCAAGACAGGAAACAGTGGTGAATTATATGAACAGAAATTCACACGTAATGAGTTTACAAATGTGGATGACTAAAAGAGTAAGATAAAAAAACACTTCAAATGAGGGAATGTAATTGAGAATTGTTTTTGATTTGAGGCTACAGATTGTTTTTATGTGTTTGAAGCTACCTGGTACCTAGACCTGAATCTTGTTCCATTTTAAAATCTTCTAGGCTGGGCTGTGCCTTTGGAGGTGGTCCTGAGGGTCTTGATCAACACTGTAATGATGTGAGTCATTAAGGGTCACATCATGAGCCAAGATGTTAAACATTTGCGAGACATCTCTTTACCCTGACATCATGTGAGTTATTGAGGTCCAGAGATGGGCGTTACAGTAACGCGTTACTTGTAACACGTTACTGTAATCTGATTACTTTTTTCAAGTAACGAGTAAAGTAAGGGATTACTATTGCAAAAACGGTAATTAGATTACCGTTACTTTCCTGTAGGAACGCTGCGTTACTG